TTCTCCAAAATTTCCAGTCGACTGAAGATTAAGGGAAAATACTGCCAAATTTTCAAGTTATATGATGTCTCAACGTTTTAGTGCATTCGATATTAGTATTCAAACGACCGGATATGCTATTCATACGACCAAAACGCGTGCACGCGTCAAATAGATATTATTTTCTCACTTCACACTCGACAATACCAACCTTCAACTTTACCTGAGGTAAGGTTGAAGCACCCTAGAGCCTAATAACTAGTTCAATCTCGATCAGAGGGACAAACGAGACGAAGTGCTCTGTATTGGCTGGCTAAGCCTGAAAAAATGCTATTACACGCAGTAGTGCGGATAACAATCTTACAGTGTGAGGCATGCAAGCAAGAGAACATCATTGAAACATCCTTCAAAGACAACACGTGTGAGAAGCATTAAGGGGTTAGTCTAAGAACGAACTTCTTAGAAGCAACACTTCCGGTGCTTGAACTTTGCTGCAGACTCAGAAAAGCGGCGAGAAGATCAAAAGAGCAGCCGGGGTGTGAACACTAACACTTTGATACATGCACCTCATTAGGCAGCAATCCGCACCACGACTTGCGTTACAATTAATACTCCAGCGAAGTGTTTTTATTGCAGTAATACTGGCACTTTGATACATACACCTCATTCTGGCTCACCTTGCACCACAACTTGCGTTTCAATTAATACTAAAACGAGGTGTTTACGTACAGTTACGCGCATATTTATTGGCAACTTTCAACTCTAAATTTAATTATTGCACCTATGTCCAAGATACTGATGAAATATTAGTGTTCTTGTATTAAAATGCTAGCTTGTAATCGTGTAAACTAATTTCTTACCTTAAAAATATATTATTCATTTAATATTTTCAAGTATATCTTATTTTGTAAATCGATTGTTATTTTCCTCGTGCAAAATTAATGGCAACCTTTACATAAAATAAATTTAACTCATCATTGTTGATCAAGAAAATTCTAGGTTGATCTGAGGATGACTCTACAACATATCAGAACCTTGCAAAACACTATGTGCCTATACTATAAACCTATACGCCAAGTTTGCGCTCGCTCAGTTCGTCGTTGGAAGCTGTCGCATAAACACATCTCCAAGATTTTCTGAATTCAATTATAGCGAAGACTTCTGAATACTAACAGGACATAAGGAAGTGCGTAGTTGAACTACACAACAAAGGGAATGGATATCGAAAAATATCATCAACTCTGAATGTTCCAATTTCATCCGTAAGGAATATTATTGTCAAGGTCAAGGAAAGGTGGGACCACTGCTAATCGAGCACGAACCGGTCGTAATCGAAAATTAACCGAAAGAGATGTGCGTTCCTGCATGAAAATAGTAAATAAAGACCCGAAGATCATTTCCAAGGAATTGCAATCACATCTGGCTAGTACTGGAAAAACTGTGGATGTGTCAAAGTGCGACGCTACCTGAACCGTGAGGGCCTTCACGGGCGTGTACCAAGCAAGGATGAAGCCACTGTTGAAGCTGAAGCCACTGTTGAAGCCAATTCACAAGGAGAAGCGTTTTGAGTACGCCAGGAAGCACATCGATGCTACTCAAGCAGAGTTCTATAATATATTGTGATCGGACGAGACAAAGCTTGAACTTTTTGGTGTGAATGACAACCGCTTTGTATGGAGGAAATCTGGTTATGGTCTGCTGGAACAGAACACTCTACCTACTGTGAAGCATGGTGGTGGGTCCATTTTGTTGTGGGGATGCTTTGCTGCTGCAGGTACTGGGAATATTTCTGTGATAGAGGGCATCATGAATTTTGAAGGATATCAAGATTCAAGACATTTTAACTGATAATGTTAAGCAATCGGCAAGAAAACTGCATCTTGGACGGGCATTTGTCTTTCAACAGGAAAACGACCCTAAGCACACAAGCAAATCTACACAGAAATATTTTGCTGCACAGAAATTGAGAGTGTTGGAATGGCCTTCCCAAACCCCAAATTTAAATCCAATTGAAAATTTATGGAGGGAACTCAAGAGGCGTGTTCATAAAAGAAGACCCAGCAACATCGAAGAATTGAATACTTTTTCCATGGAAGAGTGGCGCAAGATCCCTACTAAAACATGCCAACACCTCGTAGAAACATACAGGAAACGTCTGTCTACTATCGTTGCTGCCAAGGGAGGTCACACAAAGTATTAATTCAGAGTTGCCAACAATTTATATGCTTTTTTTCAAAATGTTGCCATTACTTTTGCTTCTGGTGTTTTTCTAATAAATATAAATACAACAAAGATCTAAAGTTTTACTATCCGTTATGCACAGTAATTAGATGTTCTTTGAACAATTTAACTGAAAATAAATGCAGAAATTGCAATAAATGCTTCAAATTATATTATTTCTCATATTAAATTTTTTTAAGCGTGTTGCCAATAAATATGCGCGTAACTGTAGCAGTAAAGCTAGCACGTCGATACGTGCAAGTCATAGGTCGCACCTTGCACCTATTAAATGCTTCTCTATCGTCACTGAATACAGCAGTTAAAACTCGTTGACAAACAAAATAATGAATCATTGAGGCTTATTCTTCATCGAGTTCAAATGAAGGCTGCGCATTGACAGAATTTGTAAAATAATTGCAATGAATTGCACAAAAATAATTAGAAAGTTTGCTCGCGGTAGGCAAGGTAATAATCGTATTTATTACCATTGAATGCACAGTCATCAAATGCGCATCAATCATTCTAGACGTACATTAATCCTAAATTTATTTTTAACTCAACACGATAAATGCAGAAGATATCTTATTCCCATGTTTGCCACGAGAATCGTTGCGCGATTCAAATCTGTAACTGAAACTATTTTGACTGCCAAGTTTCGAATAGCTCTGACCGAGAAATGTAGAATCCTTAATTCCTCGACATCTAGATATTTTTAATCATTTTGAATTATTGCATTAATAACAGAATTTCTATATTGAAATGCCACTCTCAATTGTTGAGGGCACAAGTTACATTTTTTGGGGGTAAAGGAAGCCATTATTTTATGACGACAGTCAGACGGAGAGCCGAACGCAGGGACGGACAGTCGATGGAAACATCAACGCTCGATGATCGAACGCCCAATTAGAGGAACAGTACATGGCAGGCTGCCCGTAATGTACCTTTGTTATAGGAATTAAGCAGGAATAGAATATTCGATTTTTAGATATAAGGCCGATAACTGTTGTTATGTCATTTTATTTTACATATTATTGTTGTTATAAAACATAAAAAAAAATAAAAATTAAATAAATAAATAAAATAATTTTTGATTCTTGTTAAATTAGTCTAAGAACTCTCATGCACTATGATTAAAAGTTCAAGTAGACATGACCATATCCAGAGTGATTATAATATAAAACGACGGGCAAACATTGTTCCTGTAGCCACGGCCGGCAAAGCTCCACGGCAGGCAGGAAGTGTCACGGAAAACACGGAAAAGTCTACGGGAAATGCCACTAATATTTAAGTATCATTTACCATAAATCAAATGGAACAGGAATGTTATCATAGAAGGAATTATGAAGGAGCTGCTCGTAAGCATGCCAAGCTAAAAACATTTGACTAAAAAAATGCATTAACTAATAATACTTAGTATCGAGTGATAACAAAAACGGACTTCAAAAACATAATTCATCACACAGTTGATGTTCCACAATTATATCTTCTCAGGCAATTAAGCCAAATATTACGATGTGATGAAGTTTGTTCGAAAAATTCTAACAAATTGGTCGAAAAGATATTATGAGATGAAGAGAAATGAAATATAAATCTATTGACAGATGTGAAGATTCTGGACTGCTTAGCAGGGAGGCTCCAGGTGAACCGGTTACGTCCTCCTGTGCGAGTCACTTGGCTATAAATTTCATGCAAAAAAAGGCAGGGGTCAGCTCATGCTTAAACATTTTGAAATAAATTTCCGACCTTTCAGCTTAATTTTTATTTAAATAAATATAATGAAGACTATGGTAATATTCTTTGATCGTTTGAGGCCATTTCGTGTTTGAGGCATTTAGCGGGGCCGCTAAATGCCGGACTCATGCGACACGCAAGCGGAACTTTGTTCGGGGAACCTGGTCGGCATATATTGGCGTCATCTGTTTGCTGAAATTCAGTTGAGCTCAGCCAGCACGGGGGATGGTTGCGCACGCTCCCACTCTGGCGTGCGTACTGCGAGCTCGTCGTGATCTTCACCACCAAGGCATCCGTGCATTTTATACATAGTTTTTCTCAACATGCGAGGGACAAAAATGTGCATTCCTAAAGATATTAATTTTGCCTTAAAAAGTGCTGTGTAATTTAGAAATAATAAATCGGACTTTATTTTTATATAGAGTTTCAACAGTTTTTCAAGTTTCTTTCTGTGTAATTTGAAAATTTCATCAAAATTTTTCGATGTTGACTATAATTGATCAAGATCGCTACACAGAAAAACAAACACGAAGATGAAACAATTCTGGATAATTGAGCTTAATTTCCCAAGTCATGTATTGTGTTCAGGTAAAAAAACTTACCAGGTTATTTGTAATGGTAGATCAAATCGAGAATTCATGGGCGCCTACAAAACTTGAATTTAAAATGCAATTCCGTCCAAAATGGCGTTCCGATGCTAATAAAACATTCGTGGACTTGAAATGATTAAATTATTGTTGAAGCAAATCAAAAATAAAATGCACTGTGAAACTAAAATGAATGGCGATTAATAATATGAATAAAAAGTCAAGCTGCGAAGAATCTACATGATTCATGTTCATCTTCCCTAAACCTAAGAACAGCGTGCCTAAACTTGGGTAATTCGGAGGAAACACTGACTTGACTATATATATATTCAATTTATCAAATTCCGTATATATTCAATGTTTCTATATTCATTGAAACGTTGAATATAAAGATAAACTCATGAATTGTGTCACTCTATTGCTGACACTAAAAAACTGAATGCATTTATGCGAACAACAGAGACGTACCAAAATTACTTTGGTATGGATTTGCTTGTCACAGAAGAGCAAGATTCAGGCAGCGAAGAAAGCATTGGGTCACCAAAAGAAACATTCTTGCACCTTTCAAAAGTTAGCTCAATTCCTATGAATGTGAGCGACTTGAACCTGTCGCGCAACTTGAGCGTTCTGTGGAACACGAGCGGTGGCCTGAACTTTGACTTGATCCTGAAGTTCGAGCGCAATTTACGGCTCGACGGAACTCTGCTCGCCACTCTTCTGCTCGTTTACGGCGCCGTCATCACCGTGGGTGTGGCAGGCAACTCGCTCGTCGTGCTCGCCGTCATCAGGAAGCCCGCCATGAGGACCGCCAGAAATGTCTTCATCATCAACTTGGCCATCTCAGACCTGGTGCTTTGTCTGGCCACCACTCCACTCACGTTGCTCGAGATCGTCCCTCAATACTGGCCGCTCGGGGACACCCCCTTCTTGTGCAAGCTGGTGGGCACTCTGCAGGCCACGTCCATCTTCGTCTCCACCATATCCATCACGGCCAACGCTCTCGACAGATACTATGTGAGAAATTATCAAAATTAAGCCAATTTACAAATATGGGTCATTGAGTTGTGTAGACAAAATCAATTGTGTTCCATCAGCACGGTTGGTGTTGATGAGGCACAGGACCACATTTTTAGGTATGACTTTATTCTAAATTGTTAATTGTTAGTAACTGAATTTAGCATTTATTGGGTTGGATATTGCTTAACATTTGGGAACCTCTTATAAATAATCGCTTTTTTTCTCCATTTTAATTTCATTTCAAGTAATTTCAACGAAAAAAGATCCCTTCAACCTTCATTCAACACAAAGTCTCCTATTAACTTCCATTTCAAATTTAAAGTACATTATAATGGGTAAACTTATAATAAAACTGTATAACGATAAATTGAACATTATGCTCGTACCATTTTAAACAGTCATTTCAAATCGAATGAATACAACGTTTCATGATTCCAGAATTGAAATACAATTTTAGATTACAAGTCCGAGCTCCAAACACACTTCATAAAATAGATCGATCATAGAAAAGTAAGGATGAGAGCACATATTTCCTCTGGAAAGTTTAAGTTTAAGATTTTATCATCAATATTTGGTACATTTTTATCGTATGGTGACCTAGTTACTGATTGTCTTCATCAAAATCACTTTATTGAATCAATCCTTCCTTCCGTATTTCCCGATTGGAGTAAGAGACTAAGTTTCGAGGCTTTTCTAAGAGAACAAAAAAAAAACTAAACTTGCGATACATTGTAAACTTGATTTATATGAACCAAATTATGCCTACAAAAAATTTATTTACATCAGTTTACTGATTCTGCTCTACTAATTCGTATCTTACAGCTCCGTTCGGGCTTTACATCGCATAAAAATTTCTCTGCGTGCTCACCCCGCATTCCTCTTTCAGTAAATACTAAAATAAATTTCATGTATGCATACACATGAACTGCAAGATAATGTTAAAAAATTCATGTGAGCTTTCGCCAGCAATATGATGTTATTTATTAACTTCCAACCTAAATGCTGTTACTGCAATCAAAACTTGTTCAAGCCATTCAACATGCAATTTTCATCTCACTCATTTTGAAATTTATATGATCGGAAATCCCGGCGTTGCACGAAGTATGCAATCTCTGAAAAGTGACGAAAATTTCATCAAATCGTATTTCCATTTTTTTACCAATTCATATTTCAAAACGTTGTTATACATGAATTTTCATGTTCAAACCCATATCGAAGCTTGAACTCCATCAAAAACTATGAATTTAATTGTATTTTAAAACATTTATTCTGCTTTCAAAACAACAGGACGTTGCTCGATAAAGATAATCACAATTTTTGTTAAACCCCGTTCTCCACATCCCGTTTCCTAGAATTCTGTTAATAATTGCCAAATTGAATTAGTGTCAATTAATGAAAGATACGTTCCGACAGTCGTTTAGCACGGATCTTCCACTGAACTCCCGTTTCGAAATTGGCGAACATTTTATTTTTTTTAAATAAGGTACGCTTGTCAAATAGGAATATCATTTCAATTCTTAAATTAAATTTCACCATCTATGCCATTATTTAATCGTAAAAATTTATTAGTTTTGTGTGCAAAACAGTGGCCAATAGTTGGCCATGCTTTCAAACACGCAAAATTCGAAAATTTTAGATTTCAACTCGTCTATATGACTTTTGTGCATATAATTTATAATACAATTGCGTAGTAATTGCGTAGTCAGATATTCTTATATTTTGTTCGTTATAGTATACAAAAAAATCGAAAGGAAACAAAATCCAGCGATACTGAGACATTGTCGATCAAATCGTAATTCGCAATAAAGATTCAACGTGACCGAGTTAGGCAACGATTATTTAAATAAATGAAGAAGTTAAAGGAGGTAAGCAAGTGAAGGTTTCATCTACTTTATACCGGAATGGTTAAGATTAAAAGCTAATGGAAATAATTCTTCACGATAATCCAGGCGAACTTATTCCAATTTCACTTAGCTCAAATTCCCGAGAAACTGGAGGAGGCCTGTGGTGCTCTGTTTGATATGCGCACTCTGATCTGGAAGTCGTTCATCAGACTCCGTTGAGCGAATTGTGAAGGTACGCCGTGTGCTCACGTACGGTGGTAAAGCTTGGCTGACTGACGTAACAAAACATTGCTAGAGGAACGAATGACGGATAATGCCTAAACGGAGTGAGATCAAATTTTCTCCGGTTCATTCATTGTTCACTCGTAAACGTTCAACGAGATTGAAAATTTTCAAGAAAAAAATATAAAACTGTTTCTTCAGAAACTCTTGCCATTTTCTGTTCACTAAAACAAATATTTTTAACAAGTAAGATAAATTACCATCTTGACCAAGAAATTCATCATCATCAGGATTCATCATTTCATTACGTACAAACGAAAATGATGCCTGGAAATTCTCGTGAATGATAAGAAGAATTTAGTTATGAAGATTCGGGACCTCATCCAGAGTCAGCATACAAATGGAAAGCAGGCTTTTGTATTATGCTGGAATTATGTACGCAGATTTGATGAATGATGCAAACAACAACACCGAGAGCATTGCGATTCCTTTTCGAATTCAGCTCATCGTTCAAACAAGTCAGAAAAAGGAATCCCTAAATACCCCAATGTTCAGAGATTGTTTTTTTTACATTTTACAGTTTCACACAGTCATTAGTTAAGTGTGAAACACAACAGACGTAACAGCCAGTGAAAAACATGAAAAGTGGGTCCATAATGATTTGAACAATTGTAAAATTGTTGTAATTGAGCGGTAAGAATGAAAATAATTAATTAATTTCTTATACTGAATGTTGCATGACATATGTATCTAGGTCTCGTCCCAATACCCTAAAAGCAATCAAATTAGCACATTTATGGCAAGTATTTCATGCATCCAAATGACCTTGGCCATGTCTGTCCAAAAACTCGTTGAAAATATCCGACATGTCGTAGACTCGGCATGCTTCATGTCATTAGCACTTAGGCTTTTGCTCGGAGGGCGAAAGCTCTCGAGCAGAAATGGTCAGTCGTTTCGTTGCTGTCAGCCCGGAGAGCAGAAGCATTTTCTTTCCTTCTTCGCTAGGAAATGGATCCAGAATAGCAGAAAATTCTGCAACAAACAACGTCGAGACAAAAAAAATCTTATATTGGCTGTCAATTAGGATTCAGAGCACCCAAACCACGGTGAATATCAGAACATAAAAAATGCATGTTAATATTTTTCAAGTTACGCACCCGTCAGTCGGCTAGCCATCAGAAGTTAACGGTAATTTTTAAACCATTTCCTAACGAGTAAGGTAATTTTGTTCGCAAAATTAGGGGGTACTGGTGTTAATTTCGGTAGTTCATATCGTGCATCGGTACAGGAATATATTGGGTATCCATTATACAAGTTGCGAATAAACATCATCGGTGATAAAAACGCATCAAGCAAAATGAGCATAAATACAGGGTGTTTCAGAATTAAGTAACCCTTCTAATTTGTTAATAAATAAAAAACTAAGAACGTTATGAAGTTGAAACTTGTTTTATTTAAAAGAAGAACATTTTTATGGTAATATTGTATCCTAGTTTTTTAATATAATATCTTTTAAATGCCCACCACAATTGTTTTGACAAAATAGTCGAATCATGATGAAAATTTAAGGCTTGATAATTAAACACAAATTTAGCAAGCTATACAGGATAATGACGTAACTATGATGCAATATTACCATGAAAATGTTCTTCTTTTAAATAAAATAAGTTTCAACTTCATAACGTTCTTAGTTTTTTATTTATTAACAAATTAAAAGGGTTACTTAATTCTGAAACACCCTGTATATAACGTCGATACAATTCGAAAATTTAATACAGATTGCGTCAACGTAGCTTGAATTTAGATTAATTAGACTGATTTAGTAGATTAATGGTCTTAAAAACTAAATGAATTTGCGAAATCCTAACTGAAATTACATGAAATTGAATTAAAACAGTACATTCGAGTAAGTTTAATCGGACATTGGCGACAAGATTCGAGGACTTGCAAGGGCGCAGTGAAGCGTTGCTTCGTATAGCGTCTGAGCTGCATTGTCTGAAGAGCAAGATGGTATGGACTCAATATACCGGTTGTCCAAAAAAAAAAAAGATATTCAACTTTGAATGACTGTAACTCGAAAAGTAATAGAGTCAAAAATTTTTGGAAGGTCAGGATTTGTTCCCAATGTTTTTCTCCGCCTCTCCACCAAAAATAAGAAAAATCGATGTAGCCATAAACGTTTGATAGAACTTTCAGTGACATGTGCTAAGAGGGGGGTGCAAAGGTGTGGTAGGAAGAATCAAAGGGGGGTGGGAAGGAGTAGGGGATGGTAAAAGTAAAATGATCCACGCGACTGTCCTCGGGTATACATAAGGTGCTAAGGTGCGATACTTTGTCTTAAAGTATATAGAAACAGATGATCTGGCAACGTTTAGACCTAAATTTAGGATGGGCATATGCCACTTCCCAGTCATTATTTGATTCCTGACGAAGCCAGCCGCTCTTACTCTTGGCGTATGCTTAGGTTACACATTAATAAAATATCTATGTTAAATAGCAGGAAAGAGTTCCGTTGTAATTTTCTTCTGACAGCACGTTTATGGCAATAGCTGCGTATTTCAATATAAATTTATTTATTCCAAAACCCACTAACTGAATTAAGCTAATAAGAAATGTGAATGAAGATATTTCATTAAAATAAAGTAGATAACACAAGGGAGATTGCATGATGAAGATAATACAGATAATATGGTGGGTATAATACTGGCGAGATGGTATATGTTGGAAATAGTGGAGTAGATGATCTTTGAGAAAGTTTTAGGAACAAGTAAAAATGTATTGTGCACAACTGCGACGAAAACACATTCATGTAGCACCCTAAGTAATGACCACATTATTTTGTGTTTACAGTCGAGCGTTCTTACAATTACTTCGATTGAACTGAATACATTATATAGTGCGTATCACAAAACATAACACAAAATGAAATAA